ATCTGGTCTCCTCTGGGAGATTGGAGAGACAGCTGGCAGCAGAATCCCTGTTCTTATCTCTCGAACCTCCTCTGGCCTCCGACCAGCATGGCAGCGTAGATTAGAGGCGCAAAACTCTGCAAAAAAAACACGATTTCCGCTGCATGTGTGGGTTTAATGTAAAGCCGCGAGCAGCGTAGGTTAAAACACGTCCGCTGGAGACAGAACAACCAGCTGAAATGTTCTTTTCTTTACATTCATTGCGTCGTTTGGATTTTATTTTTCAGCTCCAACTCAATTTAAAGTCTGATTTCTTCTTAAAAACAAACAGAGGTGACATAAAAACACTAAATATGTTACCGTGGAACCGGTTGAGGCGGTAAAACCAGCTAAAGTTTTTAAAAATCAAATAAAAAACATGCATAAATGATGGATGGTGTGTCTACAAGATGCTTGAATATAATTATGCTGCTATAAATGAAACGTGCTCAGTGTGTTCAGTCAGTAATCTGCAGAATCTGATGCATAAAAAAGACAAAAATGTGACTTTTTTTTAACCTTCTGCGATGATAAAGTGGATTTCTTGGACTGCTGCTCAAACAAAATGATGTTTAAAGTTCTGATCCATGTTTTTTGTTTGTTTGTTTTACATTTTTTTCATCTTTTCTGATATCTTATGCACCAGAGTTGCACCATCTTGGCTAAAAGTTGGACTTCCTGTCCACCGGTTGAAGCACAAAACAGACACAGGCGACGACAAAAACAGAAAAACTGATATTTTAGAGAACGTTTAGTTTGTAAAATACACAAAATCAAACTAAAACACAGCTTAAATGAATTCTCTCTGTTTAAAAATCAGCTAAAGTTTTTTAAAAATAGACTTTAAATGACATTCTTAGATTTATATTCTTTTTCATTTGCATTCGGAGCTAATTTCACAAACCAGAGACCAGGTTCTGTTGAGGTTCTGCTCAGTGTGTTCACCAACAAATACACGGAATTAATCAAGAAACAGGCTAAAAATCTATATTTTTAGTGATTTTCTTCACCTCCTGTCATCATTAAGTGGATTTTTTAACTATTCTTTACCTTTTTAGGCATCATCTTGCACTTTTTTAAACAGTTTTTTGACATTTTCAACAGCAAACAGTTTCTAAATTACTTTGGATTTGTTCCAGGAATAATTATTTACACATTTATGTCTGTAATAATAGACGTAGCCTCATGTTGGTGCATGTGCAGGTCACTAAAACCTGCTGTCAGGCTGCTTTTTCCAACGATATTCAAGTTTCCCAGAGAAACCATGACATTTATTGGCACTCAAACTGCTTTTCTTTGATTTCTTTTGAACATTTTAAAGCCAAACTAATATTTAATAACTAGCAGATACTAAAAACTGAGCATTTGCACCATCCAGCAGCTGAAACGTTCCGTTTTGCACAGTTTAAAGTGTTTTCCGTGTCGTTTTATACCTGATAGGAGCATGCTGTGGGTGGTTTGCTGTCGTTGCTGCGGCGCTTTTAGCAGCTCAGCAGGGTGACGGTGGGGTCGACACACCAAACCTGGACTCAAGCGTCTCGGCAAACACTTTCAATCAGAACTCAGCTGGACAAACACACACAGCTGCTGGCGCTCCAAACTCTCTCGCAGCTCCAAATTACATTAATCAGCAAATCAAACAGGTGAATATTTAGATTTCAGAGCGTCTCTGGTCACTGTTTGTGAAAAACGAATCTGATTTAAGACAAAAAATGTTGACTGTTTGCTTGTAAAAGAAGAAAAAAAAGGATTCTCTCTTGTAGGAAACAGGATAAAATTGAAAAATCTAAGATGTAAAAGTTGCAAAAATGACATAATGCTCAGAATAATTATCAATAAATACACAGAAGCTGTTAAAGAAACACAAAAATCTGAATTTATCAGGATTTTTCTTTAACCTAAGTGTAAAAATAATGATCCTCTGGTGCTGAAATGTTTGAAAAGAACAATAAAAATATGCTGTTTATGGACAAATGAGGCCATGATGCATCGACATGGTGCCAAAATAAAGTAATGGTCATTATATTAATTAATAAATATGTTGAATTTGTTGTTTTCGTGGCCTTAAACCAATCAAATTAAATCAGATTTACACTGTTTGCAAGTAAAAAGAAAGCAAGACGAGTAAAAAACACATTCAAATAGGTTTTTGTCGACATAAATGAAACAACATTCAGTATATCTGTCATTAAATAGGCTGAATTTGTTAAAGAAAGACAAAAATCTGTCTTTTTTGTGGCCTTCTATCACTGCAAACTGCATTTTTAATCAATTTCACACAGAAATGGTCACATTTGGATGTAAAAAATAGATTCTGTCCCCTGAAAGTGAGCCAAAGTTTTAAAAATTGAACTCAAAATGTGTTTTTCTGGCCATAAATGAGACATGATGCAGCTGCATGGTGCAGAAATAAAGTCCTGCTCAGTGTATGGAGCCATTAATAGGCAGTGTTTGTTAAAGAAAGATAAAAATCGACCTTTTCTGGCCTCCTGTGGCTGTAACCTGGATAAACGGTCAGATGTTGGAGTCACTCTGCTCAACAAACTCATCATTTTCTGCATTTTTTAATGTTTTTAAACCAATTTTCCACTTTTAATAAATCAATTTGGAATCCACAAAGCGTCACTTAGCCTTTTTAATTCATGCACTCTCTTGAACGGCTTTAATTTCTCCTCCGTTCAGCTCCGACTCTGGACACTCCTGCAGCTCACAGTCCTGCTGCTGACTCCACACGACGGACTGAGGCGCCCTCTCGTGTCTCGCCGCCGCCGCCGCTCATCCAGCCTGAGTCATTACATCACTTGTCAGGCCGAATTAGAGGCGATGCAGCTGAAACGGGCTCGATAAAAATAAATATGGCGCTGGTCGTTCGATGGCTCATCTCGTGGCTGAGCAGACATATGCTGACCTACATTTCACAGGCTTCTGCTGCGGCTCCTTTCTCCACCGTTCACTGTGGTTTCATTAAGAGACGCACGACCGGCCGTCGTCCTGCAGCCGGGCCACGACCACGCCGACGTCCAAGCTCCTCGGCTGCACGTTGGCCTGACATTTAACTTTAAGTTTCTCCTCCTGAATCTCCCTTAAAAACTGAAATTACAACTTCAGACTCTCACCAAGTGTGGATTCATCCGCCACTGAAAATAGTCCCCACCAAATTCAGTTTTTAATCCAATTTAGGATACGTTTGGCAAAAAAAAAAAAAACCCTCAATATATTACACACACATATATATATATAACCAGGCTGTGTCTTTTAAATGCACTGTGTCCTTTTATGTTTGACTACAAGCTCGTTTCACTTTGTTTAAAGCTTCCAGGAGCCACAAAATAAGAAAAACGCACGACATAAATGAGATACAAGAAGTCTGTCGCATAAAAATAAAGTAATACTGCAACTAATCAGCATAAAGAAGCAGAATTTCTTTCCATAAAAAGGCAAAAATGTGAATTGCTGGCGATTTTCTTTCCCTTCTGTGATCATAAACTGGATTTTTTGGCTGCTGGTCGACCAGACAAATACATTTTCAAGTTCTAATCTGTATTTATTTCATATTTTCTGACATTTTATAAGCAATGAAGAGATTCATTTGACTTAATTTCTTTTTTGAGGCGTTAATGTCTGTTTATTTCTGGTGATTTTCTTTCCCTTCTGTGATCACAAACTGGATTTTTTTCCGATCGGATCGAAGTCTAACAAACGGACAGTTTAATGGATAAACGCTTTGTGTCACCGTGTCTGCTCAACAACGCACAAAGAACCATTATTGACGATTACTGGATCCAACAATAAAAAAAAAAGTCTTGAAAATGACCAAACTTTTGTCTATAACGACTTAAAACTTGTCCACAACACACTGACAGCTGCTCGCTAAACGCCCACGACGCTCTCTGCTGCCAACATGAACTGCAGTCTGAGTGACGCCTCCTCTGGTCTCTAAACAGTGAGAGGCTCCACCTGGTGGAACAACCAGGTACTACAGCTGATCTACGATACATTTCCTGACATTTTTTTCTGATTGCCGGATTTTGTTTTAAAGACTAATTATCGCTAAAACTCAGAAACGTTTTATTAACATGTCCAACATTTAGCCAACACTAGAAACAAATAGCACGTTCACGTACGATAAATAATTCACTTTTTGCGTATTTAAATTAGTTTTCATTCTTCCATGGTCGGTGAAAACATCCTGCAGTTCAGCCACTTTGACATGTGACTGTCGCTAATGGCTCTCTTGGTTGGGTCGAGGAAGAAGTTGTTGAAATTTTAATGTTTTAAAGTAAGAATTAGTTTAGTTTTGGTGATTTTTTTTAAAAATGAAGCATGTAGAATAAAACAGCTTTTATGAAATATCCTGATTTTAAGCCAAGGTTTGGTTTTCCAGTGGAAGTTTCATTATTATTTTGCAAAAAATTGGAAAAAAAAAACCCAAATCAACGTGTACAACTTATCTCAGAAGTCCACAGTCGTTACCAATCTGACAACATTTAAAGCATTTCTACAGCCTCGACTAACTCACGACTCATCAACATGTTTCTTCCAACAAGTCGCTCCTCTGTTCACTGTTTCTGAGCCATGCTGCCTTTATTTTATTGATCCAGGATCTCCCATGTTCCTCTCTGCTCTGTAAGAACACTGCCTGCAGTTCAGCCGAATGTCCACAGAATTGATTTTTTTCAGTCATGGCGTCACATCTGAAGTGAAGATTGTTCATTTTTAGCTTATGTTTAGATCAAATGTTTTATTTTTGGTCAACTTTTAAACGAGACACGCAGTGATTTTGATGAGATGTCACAGTTCTAAGCTTAGATTTGGTGATTTTTCAAAGTCCAACTGTTCTGTCTGACCTCAGCAGCTGTTTGTTTGTTTGTTTGTTTGTACCTGTCAGGTGACCGGTTGGCTGACTCCACCACCACACTCGCGTTGGCCCTCGCGCTCCTCTCTCTCGTGACCACGCCCCTTCCTTCACGTCCAATCCCGACATGGAGCCCATCAAGGTCCAATCAGAAGGCGGACTGAATGTGACGCTCACCATCCGGCTGCTGATGCACGGCAAGGTACCCGCAAGCACTGCCTTTGTCCAGCACTTTCCAATTATCTGCCAAGAGAAAGCTAATGTCACACCATTGTTGTGTTTCTGCAGGAGGTTGGGAGCATCATCGGAAAGGTACGTATCAGCAACACAACAACTAGAGCATCACAAAGAGACACACAAAACATCTCACTGTTGTTTCTCTTTGCTTCCAGAAAGGAGAGACGGTGAAGAAGATGCGAGAAGATGTAAGAAGCACCTTCCTCCAGATCATATTCATCACTCCTGATGGTTGCTTTTGGCCTAACATTGTGTACTTTTTGCTCTTTTTGTCGCCCTAAAGAGCGGCGCCCGGATCAACATCTCAGAGGGGAACTGCCCTGAGCGGATAGTCACCATCACCGGGCCAACAGACGCCATCTTCAAGGCCTTCGCCATGATCGCCTACAAGTTTGAGGAGGTACGACGTTGTTGAGTTTAACACCAAACGGGTGTCACATGCTGTCAGGTGTCAGCATGAATATGCATCAGTCAGGTTTGAATCTCCAGCATGGTGATTACTCAGGAATTCACTCCACACTGTAAAAAATCCACAAGAAAACTGACAATCTGGTGGCAAAGGTGTCAGAAAAAAATATGTAAAAACAAAGATATGGGAATACTGTAAAAATGTCAAAAATGGCAATAACAGTGAAATAGTTTTAGATTTTTTATGTAGACGTACATTTTTTGTTTTGGCCCATTTTTGGAGAAAATTTTTAAAATTAAAAAAAAAAACAAAACTGTAAAAATAACAGTTTCATAGAATAAACTTAATATATTTTTTAAATTATAAAATTATTTACCATTTTCCAGTCCTTAATAAACATAGTTTTTCCTTTGAATAACAGAAAAAAATCTTTAAAATAATGTTGTTGTTTTTTGCGCATTTAAATACAGAAAAAAAAAACGTGTAATTTTATGATCAAACGTTGTCAAAGAACAGATTACCATTTTTAAAAATACAGATTTTTGATTTTTGACATGAGTTTCTTAACTTTTCTCTGATTTTTTACTGGTTAACATATAAATTAACACTTTTTCCTGTGACTTTACTCCATGTAAAATATGTAGAATAACACATTTTTAACTTTATTTATATTTTTGTATATTCAAAAAAATGAGGGAAAAATCAGTAAAATAAAAGGAAAAACTCCAGAAAATTCCAGTGTTCTTTTTTTTTACAGTGTACAATAGTCCATCTGAATGTATTTGTTGGTTGTATTTGGTGTTATTAATGTAAATCTAATCAATATAGTGATGTCAAAGAGCAAAACTTTCCTCCTTTAGTTGCAGCTAGAAAAGTCAGACATGAATAAAGGTTGTAAAAAAGAAAAAAACACTTAAAACGGTTTAATTATAACGGCTCAGTATCATTAATAACACCAAACATGTTCTGTTCTACTGGAAGGTATTTTTTATTTTAAATGTACTGTATAAAAATCTGTAACTTGATTTGAGTTACTTTGTCAAATCAGGTGACAGTTTGGTTTGTAAAACGTCAGAAAATAGTTTGTCCAGACAACCTCCCAAACATCTGGAACATGTGCTTAAATCCATGAGAAAACACACGTCCATGAGCACGACTGTGGCTGCCGTTGTGCTCTGGACGTGTAAACGGACGGCACTTGAGTTAATGCATTTCTTTCTTCCCACCACTGGCCAGCTTCAGTTCCTGCACTGACTCATTTCCAAATGGAATACAAAGCAGGCTTGGCCCCGTTATGTAGGACAGAAATGTGCTGATCTAACCTTGCAACACCCTCTGAAAGTGGGCCAGTTCTGTGTTTTGATTTGTGCTTCGTATCAGCAGGCTTCAGTCGGACCACAAACACCTCAGACGAACCTGCACGGCGCTCCGTGGAGCAGAAAGCCTCATTCTCAGGGTTTATTTATTAAAGTTCCTAATGTCCAACTGTTAGAAGTGGAAATAAACGAGGACGATGTTGTTCTTTCATGTCGCTAAATTCATTTGATTCTGATGAACAACATCAAATATAACCAACAAATACCGACTGATGGATTGTTGTACACTGTAAAAAATATACTTCGTATTAATTTTATGGAATAATTTTATGGAATTCTTCACATTTTAATAACAGATTTTTTCCCCACATTATTGAAATTTATAAAAATATCAAGAACATTACAAAAAAAATGAACAAATTTATGTAAAGTTAGATTATATCACAATTATAAATGTAACCATTTATTTAGTGACTCTTATTTTACATTCTTTTAAAGTTAATCTATTAATTTTATTAGTAAATTTTTATTTTGGACATTTTTTCAAACATTAAAGATAAAAATACACAAGATTTGTATGTAATGTATACAAAAACTCAATTAAAATGATGATCTAAAATTAACTGTTTAAAATTGTAATTATAATAATTATTTGTTTAATAATCTTGGATTTTTTATTTGTTCAAAGTTAAATGTATTGGTTACTGAAGATTAAAAAAATTAAATATTGATCAAATATACATTTTTTTAATATAAAATTACACGTAAAAAAGACATATCGCTATGATTTAAAATGATTTATTATGAAAATTATAATCAGAGATATTTGTTTAATAACAGCAGCTTGAAATTATTTTTTTTTAAAATAAAGAAATCCATTCATTTTCCAGATGGACACACTTATTTGACATTAAACGTCTAAATATGCAAGATTTTTTACTTTAAATCACATTTTACATGCTGAGATCAAAACTTCACATCAAACAGTCACATTAAATGTATAAATACACAAGATTTTTTTATAGAAAATTAACCAAAACCAACAGCAGATTGTCACAGTTTAAAACTGAGCTGCTAGCTGCTGTTTTCTTTAAGATTTCTTTATGTGAGGCATTTAGGGAACATCGGTAAACTGTAGTGTCTATTGAGAAGCATGTGTTCATCAAGTGAAGAGTTTTGGGTACAGTTTTATTTCTATTTTGCATCCAGGAGACGCTCTGGAATCAGGTGACGACTATTTTAAGTCTCATTTTGATGCAGATTTTGCAGTTAAAGCTGCTTATTTAAAAGACAAAGTGCAGTAAAACACTCCCACATGTGGGCCCTGAATGCCACCCAACACAAAAACACCATTTCAGACGTCTTTGCCAGCGTCGATCCATAAAGAAAAGGCTCCAAACTGCTTTTCTTTTTACACCTCAGTGTTTTTTCCAGCCTGTTTTAAAGGTGTTTTATCCGCTGCATGAAGGTGGATTTACTACAAAGCCGCCACTTGACACAGTAACTGGCCATAAAAGAAGCTTTTTATCTGATGCAGCTGCTCTTTTCCTCCCTGCAGGACATAATCAACTCCATGAGCAACAGTCCAGCCACCAGCAAACCTCCGGTAACCTTGAGGCTCGTGGTGCCGGCCAGCCAGTGCGGCTCCCTCATCGGAAAAGGAGGCTCCAAAATCAAAGAGATGCGAGAGGTGACGACGGAAGTTCTGCGTTTTCTATCCCGATGGTCGCCTGAGCAACCATAAGATGCTACAAACCTCATGTAGCTCCTAGATAAGCCTCCTAAACCCCGTTTATATGGTTCATATAGGAAAAAACTAAAGGTGGAAAACTGTAGCAAAAGAAATACACTAAAAACTGTGTATTTTCTCTTTTTTTTTTACCCATTTTCCAATTCTTTGTTTTTAATATTTGTAAAATAAAAACAAAACAAAAAAACAAAAAAACTGCAAACTACTGTGAAAATAATAGCACGTGTGTCATTATTTACTGTTTTGGCCTTCTTCTAAAAAAAATAAAATAAAAAATTTGCATGTAAATTATTAGTAATAATCAGCTAAAAATAATTATTTACCATTTTTCAATTCTCCATTTTTCAATATTTAGAAAAAAGGAGGAAAATAATGGCATATACATGTATAATAATGATATTTCAGCTAATTTAAATACAGTAAAACATACTGTGAAAGTTTATGATTAAATAGAAAAGCACAAAATATACTTTGCTGATTAAAATTATAAATTAATGCAATTTTCCAGCAGTTTTAATTGACATTATCTGCATTTAACTGTTAAACAAATCAGTAGAAACAAGGGTATAAATCTATAAAATAATGTTATTGTTTGTCGAAGAACGTGTAACTTTATGATCAAATATTAAAAAAGAAGAAATTATT